GTTTTACATAGGAATATATAGGAAAAATCTTTAAAAATCTTCTTCTTAAGAACCACTGGGCCAGGAAAGATGAAAATCATGTGGAATCATCCTCAGGTAGTGTAGATTCAAGTTTGTTCAAATCATGACCCCCGGGGCTAGGGTGGTGCTTAAATGGCTGACCAAAGTTTTACATAGGAATATATAGGACAAATCTTTAAAAAGCTTCTTCTTAAGAACCACTGGGCCAGGAAAGATGAAACTCATGTAGAATCATCCTCAGGTAGTGTAGATTCAAGTTTGCTCAAATCATAACCCCCGGGGCTAGGGTAGGGCCAAAATGGCCGACTTAAGTTTTACATAGGAATACATAGGAAAAATCTTTTAAAAATCTTTTTCTCAAGAACTACTGGAATTGGAAAGATGAAACTCATATGGGATTATTCTCAGTTAGTGTAGATTCAAGTTTGCTCAAATCATGACCCCCGGGGCAAGGGTAGGGCCAAAATGGCCCACCCAAGTTTAACATAGGAATATATAGGAAAAATCTTCAAAAATCTTCTTCTCAAGAACCACTGAGCCAGGAAAGATGAAACTCATGTGGAATCATCCTCAGGTAGTGTAGATTCAAGTTTGTTCAAATCATGACCCCCGGGGCTAGGGTGGTGCTTAAATGGCTGACCAAAGTTTTACATAGGAATATATAGGACAAATCTTTAAAAAGCTTCTTCTTAAGAACCACTGGGCCAGGAAAGATGAAACTCATATAGAATCATCCTCAGGTAGTGTAGATTCAAGTTTGCTCAAATCATAACCCCCGGGGCTAGGGTAGGGCCAAAATGGCCGACTTAAGTTTTACATAGGAATACATAGGAAAAATCTTTTAAAAATCTTTTTCTCAAGAACTACTGGAATTGGAAAGATGAAACTCATATGGGATTATTCTCAGTTAGTGTAGATTCAAGTTTGCTCAAATCATGACCCCCGGGGCAAGGGTAGGGCCAAAATGGCCCACCCAAGTTTAACATAGGAATATATATGAAAAATCTTCAAAAATCTTCTTCTCAAGAACCACTGAGCCAGGAAAGATGAAACTCATGTGGAATCATCCTCAGGTAGTGTAGATTCAAATTTGTTTAAATCATGACCCCCGGGGCTACGATGGGGCCAAAATGGCTGACCAAAGTTTTACATAGGAATATATAGGAAAAACTTTAAAAATCTTCTTCTCAAGAACCTCTGGGCCAGGAAATATGAAACTAATGTGGAATCATCCTCAGTTAGTGAAGATTCAAGTTTGTTCAAATCATGACCTCTGGGGCTAATTTTGGGCCGAAAATGGCTGACCAAAATTGTACATAAGGATATATAGGGAAACCTTTTAAAATCTTCTTTTCAAGTACTTCAAAACCGTTCACGGTAGCCTAGTGGTAGAGCGTTCGCTTCGTGATCGGGAGGCCCGGGTTCGATTCTCGTTCCCGTCGCCGCGTCAAACCTAAGACGTAAAAATAGGTAGCGACTGTTCCTTCGCCAAGCGCTCGGCATCAGAAGTGAAAGTCACGGGTCTTTCGGATATGACCTTAAAAACGTAGGTCCCGTGTCACGGTAGGCGCTGGCACGATAAAGAACCCTCACTGCTCAATGGCCCCGAGTGCCCAGTATAGGTCCAAATTTGAAGCCCTTCACCGGTATATGGTGACGTCTCCATATGAGTAACAATTCTCGAGAGGGACGTTAAACAATATACAATCAATCAATCAATCAATCAAGTACTTCAAAGCAATGATTAGTGATATTTTTCTATTTTTATGGAATCATCCTCAGGTAGTGTAGATTGTACATTGTTCAAATCATGACACCCAGGAGGGTTAAAATTCAAGCCACCCCCCCCCCTTCCCCCAGTAAACTTTCAGTTTTGATCTGATATGTGCTTTTTCCTAGTAGATGTGCTCAGGTGAGCGATATGGCCCTTGGGCCTCTTGTTAAAAAAATTTCTTCTCAAGAACTACTGGGCCAGGAAAGATAAAACTCATGTGAAATCATCCTCAGGTAGTGTTGATTCAAGCTTTGTTCAAATGATGACCCCCAGGGCTAGGGTGGGACCAAAATGGCTGACCAAAGTTTTACATAGGAATATATATGAAAAATCTTTAAAGATCTTCTTCTCAAGTAGCACTGGGCCAGGAACGATGAAACTCATGTGGAATCATCCTCAGGTAGTGTTGATTCAAGTTTGTTCAAATCATGACCCCCTGAGCTAGGTTGGAGCCAAAGTGGCTGACCAATGTTTTACATAGGTATATCTAGGAAAAATCTTTAAAGATCTGCTTCTAAGAAACCACTGGGCCAGGAAAGATGAAACTCATGTCGAATCATCCTCAGGTAGTGTTGATTCAAGTTTGTTCAAATCATGACCCCCAGAGCTAGGGTGGTGCCAAAATAGCTGACCAAAATTTTACATAGGAATATTTAGGAAAAATCTTTAAAGATCTTTTTCTCAAGAACCACTGGGCCAGGAAAGATGAAACTCATGTGGAATCATTCTTAGGTAGTGTAGATTCAAGTTCTTTGAATCATGACCCCCTGAGCTAGGGTGGGGCCAAAGTGGCTGACCAATGTTTTACATAGGTATATCTAGGAAAAATCTTTAAAGATCTGCTTCTAAGGAACCAGTGGGCCAGGAAAGATAAAACTCATGTGGAATCATCCTCAGGTAGTGTTGATTCAAGTTTGTTCAAATCATCACCCCCAGAGCTAGAGTGGTGCCAAAATAGCTGACCAAAGTTTTACATAGGAATATTTAGGAAAAATCTTTAAAGATCTTTTTCTCAAGAACCACTGGGCCAGGAAAGATGAAACTCATGTGGAATCATCCTCAGGTAGTGTAGATTCAAGTTCTTTGAATCATGACCCCCGAGGCTAGGGTGGGGCCAAAATGGCTGACCAAAATTTTACATAGGAATATAGGACAAATCTTTAAAAATTATCTTCTCAAGAACCACTGGGCCAGGAAAGATGAAACTCATGTGGAATCATCCTCATGTAGTGTAGATTCAAGTTTGTTCAAATCATGAGCCCCGGGGCTAGGGTTGGGCCAAAATGGCTGACCAAATTTTAACATAGGAATATACAGGAACAATCTTTAAAGATCTTCTTCTTAAGAACCATTGGGCAAGGAAAGACGAAACTTAAGTGGAATCATCCTCAGGTAATGTAGATTCAAGTTTCTTCAAATCATGACCCCCGGGGCTAAGATGGGGCCAAAATGGCCAACCAAATTTTTACATATGAATATATAGGAAAAATATTTTAACATCTTCTTTCCAAGAACCACAGGGCCAGGAAATATGAAACTTATGTGGAATCATCCTCAGATAGTGTAGATTAAGCTTGTTCAAGTCTTGACCCCTTGGGCTAGGGTGGGCCCAAAATGGCTGACCAAAGTTTTACATAGGGATATATAAGGAAACTTTTTAAAATCTTCTTTTCAAGTACTTCACAGCCAAGATTAGTGATACTTTTCTATTTATATGGAATCATCCTCAGGTAGTATAGATTCTACTTTGTTCAAACCATAACACCCAGGGGGGTTAATATTCTAGCCCCCCCCCCCCCCCCAGTAAACTTTTAGTTTTGATCTGATATGTGCTTTTCCTAGTCGATGTGCTCAGGTGAGCGATGTGGCCCTTGTGCCTCTTGTTTAATGCTTTTGTCCCATGATGTACAAGATTTTCAAGACAGAAAGAGGTTTAGCTAACCTTTCTATAATAAGTTTAAGTCACTGAAATGCCTAAAACACCATTTCTTTTGTCATTAATGTTATTTCTATACATGTTAAATTTTGATTAAACAAGCAAAAAAATTTACAAAAAAAAAACTTTAGCCCTATTTTTTTTTCAGCTTGAAAGCGGAAATAAACATATATTTTTTCTAGGCCTAAGTACAAGACCCCCATATTTTTAATCATGCACCAAAATAATATTAAAATATATCCCTAGGGTTTAACAGAGCTTAACTATAGGTTGAGAAAATTAACACACTTGTACTGTATGTGTATTTACAATTTTACCGATTACCTAAGTACTCGGTCGAAAAAACGTCCAAGTAACCTGTTATCAAATATTGATTGATTTGACATCCCTAATAAATATATAAACTTTAATTTAAATTTGTTTTTTTTTTCTTAGCCAAAGTACTTTGTTGAACAATTTAACCCATTGGCCATTTGTCTTCTTTTACAACTCTCTTTATATATAAAAGGAAAAAAAAATCAACTGATATTCTTTCAAATCGTGACAACAGAACATTTTATTTTATTGAATAAATAAATAACTGCTTTTCACCATTGGAAATCCAAATACTTATACATGTACTAATTTGTAGAGGTGCATTTGCAGTATACAATGTACTGTTTTTTTTAAATTGCTACAACCAAAGGTATCATTTGAATTTTGTAATTTTAAAATGAACAAGATGAAGACACAATTTTCTTTTATTTAAATATATAAGCTGAAGAGATGTATTTTTGTAATAATGGTGAATAATAATATTATTCTTTATTTTCTTTAGCCAGAAGACAGAACAGTATCAAGATGAATGAGACTATACAGTTTCTACCAGATACAAGAAATCACTGTGGTATATATTTCTCTGTTACTATCTATAACCATGTCACAACATACTGTAGACCATACCTATCATTCTATAGATTTTGTCACTATCACGAATATCTACATTTATCACTGATCATTGACAGTTTTGTAAGTCTATAAAGAAAACGACGTTGATCATTTTTTAGCATGCTGTGTAAATTATAAAGTTCTTCTATTGGAAATAGTTGACATTTAATATTTCAAATGAATTCATTATCCTGACATTGTAAAAAAAATATAATAAGTATAAGATATGTTTTTCATATTTTTTTCATTAAAGATGCCTTGATAAAGTATTTCACTTATATCTTAAGAATTCAAAACCTTCAGTAATTGTCAACAATGTTTTAATTGATCAATATTTATTATTTAGATCAGACTAATGGTGAACAGTTGGACCCTGCTTGACAGAGACTTATAAAGGATTCAGTACTCAGTGTAAAGGTATTTATGTTTATCCGTGTCTTAATTCAATATAATTCTTCATGTTGATAAAACTAAGACATCATTGATAAATGCCTACATTATAAAATGAGAGACGTGTTACTGATGTCTATAATTGTAGTACAATGTTGTAATTTACAGAGAGATCTCCCTGACTGAGGAAATCCACACATGATTCTGTTATAAAACATCAGGATAAAGAAATAGATGTCTGCTGTCAGTGATGTATAGATTTGTGTTACAGAAATCTGTCACATTGCCAGGTGTTAGTGAGTGTGATCACATTTCACATCAATCATCAGACCGGGTCTGGATCAGTGATAATAAAGGCAATCTCATACTGACAAACACAACAGGGGAAGAACTAGATAGTGCGACAGATATACGTGGTGATGATGGAGTACACACTGTGAATTTTTATGGAGATTTAATTTATATAGACAGTGAATTAAACATCAATAAACGGTCTAAAGATAACAAAGAAAAGACTACAATAATAAAGTACAACAACACGTCACCATGGAGACCAGAGTGTGTTTACAGCCCCCCTTCCACTGGAGACCTGCTGGTCGGGATGTATAGATATGATACAGAGACAGGCAAGGTAGTGCGGTATAACTCCACAGGAGAAAACATCCAGACCATACAGCACCACAACAACACAGGTCAGAGACTGTGTAGAGAACCTAACTACATCACAGGGAACCGCAATGGAGATGTTATTGTGTCTGACTGGTACCGTAATGCTGTAGTGGTGACAGATCGTGACGGTAATTACCGCTTCTCCTACAGAGGTCCTCCATCAGGATCAGGACTAGCACCACGTGGAATCTGTACTGACGCACTGTCACACATCCTGGTGTGTGATTATAACACCGACTCAGTACAGATGTTAGATAGTAACGGTCACTATCTGACAGAGATACTGACACCACAACACGGGATATACAGACCATGGGGCCTGAGTTATGATGAGAATACTCACCTACTGTGGGTAGGGTCACGGTTCAACAACACAGTCAACATATACAGAGTTGTAGATACAGACTCTCTGACTGGTAAGTAATATTGTAGATTGTTTGATTGTATTTTATAATTATAATACTTATACTAATTAATAACACCATTATGTTAGGGGGATTATTTAAGAATAACTAGTTACTATACGAGTACATGTACATGTATATATTCAAGTGTTTACTTACCAGACGAGTGTTTTTAAAAGTTTAATCACAAATGATTAATTAATATGTTAAACAACAAACATGAGATGGTAAAGATAAAGTTTGTGAATACAAACGTGATAAAAAGATTAAAAAGAAGTGATAGATTTACATCCTGTTTATCATTAATTGTATAGTGTCAATGTGTTGTGTGTAGGTCTTCAATCACTGATTCATGTTCATTGATGTTTGGTTCATAGATTTTTGTACAATATACATATAAGATATACTGTCAATGGTGAATAATTACCAACTTTTGAGATCTTGTGTTTTTTTGTACGATAAATAAAATGAGTGAAGTATGATTCATTTTTGAGAAGTAGTTAGTGGATTAAATTTGAAAATCTTTTATAATTATTACAATATCCTTAAGTTTTATAATGTACTTGTATTTAGTTTAAGTAAATTCTACCATGGTTACATTTAAAACAAATGACAATTTGTACATGTTGTACTGATGTTGACAGTTAGATATAGACACCATTGACATTAACACAGTTCTGTCTAGGAATGTTGTGTATTTCTGTAGCAGGTGTTCAGTAAATCTACACTGTGTACTGGGATGACATTTTTTGTATGAAAAACTTCTAGATGAAATATGGAAATAATTGAACAGTATTCAAGTTTAAAATACATAATGAAGTTAAAGATTCACTTCAACTTTATTAACAAAAAGTTAAATTCTAAGACACCAAAGAATACGCCATAAATACAACTACAGTGATAAATTTTAGTAACTTGCTTATGAAAGGGAGACAATTCAATTTTGTATTTGAAGGTGAAGAAAAAAATTAAGTTACCTCCCATTAAGGCATTTCATTATAAAGGTGTAAAAAATAATTCCCGGACAAAAATTAACTTCCTGCCTTGCTTCCATGAAACTAGAAATATAATTTTATTATTACTGCCTGTATCAAATGTAATTACAAGATATGGTGAAGAAGGAAATAATTGTATATATATTTATCATTAGATTTATTCTGTTCATTTGTAACCATATGTATCCCAATTACATGAATTAAAGAGACTGAAAGCCCCTAACTGATAATGCACTGAAAGTTTTTTTATTTGTACACTGTTATACAAGCATTGAGGTCACTGACAGAAATATGTAGGGTTGATTTTTGTGGTTTACACATATTGATACTTGGGGGCTGGAGGTAGGCTGGGGGTATGAGGGTTGGATTGGGGGGGGGGGGTATATATGGTATGATTTCCTAGTCCAAGTTATGTTTTTCATTATTGTGATGTTAGAACTTAAACGAGTGAACACTTATACTGCATACACACTATTTATGAGCAAATAATTGGATTTATACTTTTTACCTCACCTGAGCCGAAGGCTCAAGTGAGGTTTTCTGATCACATTTTGTCCGGTGTCCGTCTGTCTGTCCGTCTGTCAGTAAACGTTTCACATTTTCGACTTCTTCTCAAGAACCGCTGGGCCAGTTTCCAACAGACTTGCCACAAACAGCCTTGGGTAAAGGGAATTCAAGTTTGTTCAAATAAAGGGCCACGCCCTCTTTCAAGGGGAGATAATTGAGAATTAGTGAAAATTTGGTTGTATGTTTTAAAAATCTTCTTCTCAAGAACCACTGTGCCAGGAATGATGAAACTTTAAGAAGGGGAAACATCCTCAGGTAGTGTAGCTTCAAGTTTGTTCAAATCATGACCCCCGGGGGTAGGGTGGGTCCAAAATGACCGACCCAAGTTTTACATAGGAATATATAGGAAAATTCTTTAAAAAAATCTTCTTCTCAGGAACAGCAAAGTCATAATCATGATAATTGCTCATATTTCTATGGAAGCATCCCCAGGTAGTGTAGATTCAAGTTTGTTCAAATCGTGACCCCTGGGGGTAGGGTTGGCCACAATGGCTGACCAAAGTTCAAATCATGACCCCGGGGTTAAGGCGGGGACAAACTTTTGGATTTAAACTTTTCCAAAGTAAACTAATTACTACTTTTTCCTAGCCACAATGCTCGGGTGAGTGATGTGGCTCATTGTCCTCACGATTTTTTTTATTTACGCCCCTTGCCTACCCTGAAAATTGTGTGTGTGTCACGGTTTTGTGTTTTTTTTAATTGGGGAACGGGGTGTCCTTGTAAATTTCATTGTAGTTGTGTGAGAAAATCTTCCTTGACACAAAGGTTGCATACCAAATTGTGGTATATTATAACTCTTATATGTCATATGAGTTTGGCTAAGGTCATCAGTACTTTGTTTAAGTGCATTTTTAATTTAAGGTACATTGGTTATGAATATTTTCTTGAAGCAAGCAATTTAACATTGATTGGTCATCCACGTGATGATTAAAAAGCTTATCATTTGATCTAAGGTGTTATGTGACCCAAAGTTATGTTGGCGAGTTACAGGCAAAATAGAAAATCATCTTTAATATAGTCATACTCAAAGAGTGCTAAGTAAATTATATCTTTAGGTAAAAATAATTATGAAAAATATACTGGTATTTAATATTTTAAAATTAATAATTCTAAAATTGATAGAAGTAATTAATGATAATTATTGATTTATTTCTGTATTGTTTTAATGTTTCGTATACATGTATGTCAATGTATTGGTAACAATAAATTCCCATACAATTACATTTAATCATTGTACAGTAGATCATAGATTTTATAGTAACCTTTTATCAGCACCATTGACAAAATGCACTTCCTTTGTATGTCTTAGCATATATATGATTTAATCACATATATTGTTCTAATAAATGTAAATACATGTAATATCTAGATTTCTTTTCTTAGATTGTCTGGACTCCAAACATTTCTGCTCCAATATACTTCAATATCATAATAATTAATTTGTTATTTTGTTATATTTAAAAAAAAAGAATGATTATTTACAATATAAAACTTTTATTTCTAACAGGACTTCCTCTGGAGAACATCAAATGTAGAAAACATCCCAGAATTCCCCTGGACCAGTTCTGTACTCTGTGTGGTGTTCCCTTGTGTGTGGAGTGTACCAGCTCTGAAGATCACAGCAGACATGACCTCAGAAATATAGAGACATTGTTTGACAGCATTCACAGGATAGAAGGTATGAGTTTGAAGCTGTTTTAGAATTTGATACATGTAGTAAATGAAATATATTTTAAAGAATGACTTTCATTCTGCTTCAATTATCAAATAAAATATTTATTACTGTGACCTTTAACGACCTGAGCCAAACACCAAATGAGTAATCTGATCAACGATTGTAGGCCATCAATTATCTAACTTATTGTCTATAGGTTTATCTGTAACAAACATAAAGGAGGTATATATGGAGATCACTTTGTTATTTGTCTGTCAAGCTGTTCATTTATGTCTGTACGATTATGTCCAAATCAAGATTTATTATGGTGAAACTCCTGTGATCAGGAGTTCGGATCTCGACATCGACTGACCTAGTAAGTCGATAAAATGGGTAGTAAAAGTTCCTTTGCCATGTGCTCGGCACATAAAGTGAAAGTTACAGGTCCTTCGGATGAGACCTTATAAACCGAGGTCCCTTGCAGGGATTTATCTAGCTATTTTGTTTTACTAAAGTTTTATATGTAAAGGGTAGTAATGAGAGCCGCAGGCTTGATCTGAGCGCAGGAGGCGCTAATTTTCTAGTGGATCCGTGGGCATGCCCCTACGGAAAATTTTTAAATAAATGGAGCAAAATCCTGAATTCTTAGAGCTCCTGAGGGTCATTTGTAGACCCTTACAAAGGCCACAAAAACTTCACTTTTGAGACAAAATATTAAATAACAAAAAAAAAAAAAAATTAAAAAAAAATTAAACCAGGTCATGATAAGTACTTTATTTAATTTTTTCTCTCAATATCTATCACAAATAAATTCTGTACTTCATGTCTCACTTCTAACATTGTTTTTGTTGTTACTCCTTTCTTCCGATTTATAGTGATTTAAGCTCCATCTTACTTAGCTGCAATAATGTAGCCCTCTCCGATTTTTTTAATCTGATATTTTCTGGAGAGGGCTACAATTCCATAGCATCTCCGTAATGGTGCAAAAATATTTTTTAAATACGAGCGACTGCAGGCCGAATAAATTGTTTTTACATTCAACTTACTTCTAATAAGACGAAATTTTTATTCACTGTCGACATCATAGCTCGTTACACGCGAAAACCATGCAAAATAAATCTGTGTGATTTCTTCTCGCTTATTCGGCAGCCATGACAGTTCACGCGTGACGTAGGGAGACTTGCCCTTGAAATTTCGAATAACTCAATAAAGCAAATATCGATGTTTATAAATAATTGTAATGAATAGTAACACCAAGCATCGATGGATAAAACCATTCCATGTCTCATTTTCTCGTAAACAGCGATATTTATGCTTAAAATAAGGTAATTCCAAAGAAATCCGCTCCCTATAGATCCTAAATCTCATTGGCTGTCCCAAAATATAATCTGTCAAGGTCAGTAAACATGGCGGATAAATTTAAGTTGTGATGTTGACATACACGAAAAATACTGATATATGGATTGTTCTGTATATTTTTTGATCGATTTATGTCTGGGATAACTACATTTTGGAAGTTCTGGTAAGACATATAAATAAGATAGCCATTTACAGACAATATGAGCCGAAATCCGTGCGGGAGCGAATCGCTCCCGCTCTGCGCCATTATAGAGATCCTAAGGAGTTGTAGCCCTCTCCCAAAAAAAAAAAAAAAAAAAAAAAAAAAATCGGAGAGGGCTACATTATTGCAGCTACATCTTACTCATCTACACTTTTCTTAACTCTGCGATCGCATATGTATAATTTGACATCATGGACATGGCACATGTTTACCGATCAATATCAGATAGAAGCATGAATAATCTACTCTCTCTTTAAAAAGCGTTTGAATGACTAGGATGGTGAATTAGGATATGCTGTTAAACTTCAATCGGACAAAAACGGAAAATTTCAGTACGATGTTTTAAATACTCCTGTTTAATCAAAGAATTTTCTATCTGAAAAATGGGAATTTTTCACCTTTTTCAAGGGGGAAAGGTACAGTTTACCTGCAGTAAAAACAGCCTTGATAAATCCCTGTCTTGTCACGCCAGGTGTTGGCACGATAAAGAACCCTCACTGCTAAATGGCCCTAAGTGCCAAGTTAAGGTCAAAATTTGAAGAATTTCACCGGTATATGGTGACATCTCACATGAGTGAAATATCTCGAATGGGACGTAATACAACATACATTCAATCAATCAATTGTAAGAGTGATAATTTATTAATTAATTTCTAATTAATTAATAAATATCAGATTATTTTGTATTCTATTTGTATATATTTTTATTTCAGCTTATTAGATAAGTGTATGGCCATTCAGGTGTAACAGACAGTGCTACCCTGTTATTTGCCTTTAGGGATATAATTAAGGTCCTGGCCATAAGTTCTATAAGTCATTTGTTTCTATTGGGTTTTAGTTTTGTGTTCTTGTGTTTTATTGGTTTGTCAAATTCCCTCCAAAGTGTTCTTGGTCTTTCTGGTCATTCTTTGTCCAGATTGATGCAGAGAGGTCCTCACTGTTTGTCCCGAGGGTCTTGCTGCACTGTTTATCCCAAGGGTCCCTACATGGGCGCCAAATTTGTAACAGGGTTGATGGTAAATAACGAAAACACCTGTCAGGGTTCGCACTGTTTAATAATAGATGTTATTACTATCACTACGATTATTAAACAGTGCGAACCCTGACAGGTGTTTTCGTTATTTACCATCAACCCTGTTACACAATTATCTGTATATAATTCTTGTTTTTTTGTAGACGGAGATGAACTTTTGATGTGCCTTCTTCTTTCCAATTTTTACAAAATAAACTTGAAAGACGAAAACTGGATGACAAAATATAATTCTGTTGCCAAAAGTTTTCATTTGAAGGAAATCTCAAAGCCATTTGCTCTTAAAGATTTAGAAAAATACAAACCAATCCTGAAACTTAATGAATCAGAGATCAGTTATTCTAATGAGCTCTTCAAAAATATCAGTTTCCTGAAATTCTCAAAGAGGTCTGGCTTTTCTGAAGTTTTCTTGACTGGGGCAGAAAAAGAAAACGTAGCTGAGTACTGTAGATCGTGGAATTATCGGAGAAGAGAAGATGAGGTTTGCTGTTGGTTACTACCAGATAAAAATGAGGAATTTTTAAAACGTCTTGGAGAAGATATTTTCACGCACCCAACGATGGCGGACCAGTCATTCCATGAAGTTGTATTTAAGAAAGGTAAGTCTATTTTCAGCCGGTTACTCAGATAAAATTTAACAAAAGGAGTAAATGAATTACATGTATTTGTCTGTGATTTCATCTATAACTATAAATATAAGCTTATAGATCTTATTTATACCCCCCGCAAACAAAGTTTGGGGGGGGGTATATAGGAATCACCTTGTCCGTCTGTCTAGCTATCTGTCTAGCTGTCCGTCTGTCTGTGCAAATATGTCCAGTCCATATTTTTCTTCCAGAGGAATATTAAAATCTACTACTTCACCCAAAGTTTGCTTATGACGTAAGGGTGTGTCATGACCTTGACCCAAGGTCACTTAAAGAAGTTCAAGGACAATGAAAGAAAAATTTCATTATTCGTGTATCTTATGGATAAACTTGGTAAGTTCCCATTTCACACAAAGATTGCCCATGACCCAAGGGTGTGTCATTACCTTAACTCAAGGTCATTTGGGTAACTTCAAGGGCACTGGAAGAAAAAAAATTCATGATTCGTTTCCGGTCCATATCCATGATCTACAGTACTTTCTTATGAATAGACTTGGTAGGTTCTCATTTCACACAAAGATTGCCCATGACCCAAGGGTTTGTCATAACCTTGACCCAAGGTCATTTGGGGGAAATTTCAAGGTCACTGGAAGAAAAATTTTATGATTCGTGTCCGGTCTATATCTTTCTTATGGATAAGCTTGGTAGGTTCTCATTTCACAAAAAGATTGCCCATGACCTAAGGGTGTATCATAATCTTGACTCAAGGTCATTTGGGGAAGTTCAAGGTCACTGGAAGAAAAATTCATGATTCGTGTCTGATCCATATCTTTCTTATGGATAAACATGGCTGCTTCTCATTTCACAAAAAGAATGACCATAACCCAAGGGTTTGTCATGACCTTGAACCAAAGTCATTTGAGGAAGTTCAAGGTCACTGGAATTAAAATTTTATGATTTGTTTCTGGTCCATATGTTTCTTACGGATAAACTTGGTATGTTCTCATTTCACACAAAGATTGACCATGACCCAAGGGTTTGCCGTAAATTGCACCTTTTTTGCATTAGGGGATCTGTAGCATTATGGTCTAAGACAAATATATAAAACTGTAATGCTACAGATCTGCAGCTTAGTTCTGTTTTACTAGTATTTTGTCATTACAGTTGGAATACCAATGCAGATCATCTTAAGGGGAGATAAATCTGTAAAGAATTTCATTGAGAATTTAAAGAAAGGGAGGACAACCATGTACCATGCCTCTGGAATGATAATAGGGTGTGCTGGTAGTGGGAAAACAACATTGTTAGAGAGACTGAAGGGCATTGACCTGGAAGAAATAAAGAAAAATATCAGTTCAACCAGAGGAGTCGATATCCACACAGATGTCTTTGATGTGAAGGATAGCATTCAAGGTATTCTTTATTCATTGTTTTCATTGATTGTGATGAATACATGTATAATTAAATTGTATGATGGAATTGGATCACAGATCATTTCAGTAGAGTCATATTAAGTCACACAGTATGAACTTTTTGAAAAAAAAATGACTAAATACTATGTAAACAAATGGACAGAATTAAGCTCTTCTGAGCTAATTGCCCACAAAAGCGAATGTTATGGCTATTGTGTAGTATATGTAAACTTTTTTATTATATACCCATCAATTTCCTTGTTTTTGTTTTTGTTAATTTTACAGAGTTTGATCCGATTTTCCGGATCACCTTACTGTGGTTCGATGAATCCATATCACCCCTCTCTGAAACTGATGACGAAGTACGCAAAAATATGACGTGATTTTTCTTGCGCGTTAAAAAGTCCCTTGTTATCATGCTTTGTTTTATGGATAAATAATATACAATTGATCTAAAGTTTTATTCTGCTATATTTAGCTAGTTATAAGGGGGTATATAATAAGTTTATCATTATAACAGTAACTTGATCCGAAGAGCCGTATCACGTCTCGTTGACAGGCGCAGATCATCAGATCAAACTCAACGCTTCGCGTCTCGTTAGATCTGATGATCCGAGCCTGTCAACTCGACGTGATACGACCCTTCGGATCAAGTTACTGTATAATATACAGTGGCTGGAACGTTATTGTTGACAACTTACACGCACGATCCCGTTACACGAACGATTCCGCACGATTAACGCACGATAAAACCTGTTACACGAACGATCTTTCACGTTCACGATTCTACACGTTACACGATCTTACACGATTGTTAACGCAAACGCACGATTCTTCACTCAAAATAGTTCAAAATATTTAGGAATCAATATTTTCAAAACGAAAAACGGCTTAATACTTATTTAAAATTTCAAAGAATTATCAATATTATTTCATAGACTTTGAACCAAAAATGGAAAATGATATTTCTGTAACTAAATATATGCAAGACTTAATATTTTAGATTTAAAATAATTATTTCTAAGGTAATTCTCCAATCAAAAAACAGATTTTGTTCGTTCTATTAGACGATGTACATGTATGTGGGTCGTATTATTTGATTGAATTGAATATCATGATATGCAGAAAGGGGGATACGATTGAACAAAATTGGCAGCATGGAATGATTTAAATTATAATTACTATTTTTTTCCTTATGTTTCCAATGATTAAGTGTATGAAAAACTTGCCAATTATTCAACTTTTTTGTAGAAATTTAAAATTAATTAATTACAAATAGGCTAAATAGATAAACACAGATAATCAAAACTCCCGAAAATCATGCCGTGTCCATGTATATTTGTCGACTAACTAGTTATGTAAGCATTGAGAAATGTTTATTTCTTTGTAAAAAAAAAAATATTTATTTTCAATGAACTGATTTCGAGATTATTTTCACCACAATAAGAAGTAAATAATAATAATTAAAATCAGATTTTTCAAAAAGGCGTTAAATATTTAAGCACGGTTTATCACAATATTGATCGCGCTATTTGACGAGAACTTAATATTGTACGACTTACTATATTGCTTGTTTACGGGCGATAATTAGTTCGTTCTGCATTCTATTATGTAAATTGCACTTTTTCATTTTATTTGGATTTTAATTAATAAATTAAGCAAAACAAACAAGGGTAATGCTTATTTTACAAATATCATTCCGATAAAAACTTACAAAACGAAATTTACACGATTCTTAACGCACGATCTCGCACGATTAAAAACGCACACGATTGAGTCTGATACACGAACGATCTTGCACGTTAAACGAACGATCACTCACGATACACGAACGATTCTACACGATTGGTTTGTCAACAATAACGTTCCAGCCACTGTATATAGTTATATGATAATATATAGCTCACCGGAGCCAGAGCTTATCTGATTAAAATTTATCCATTTTTCTTGTTGTCAATGTTGTTGTTTAAACATTTTTTACAATTTAAACTTCGTCTCCAGAACCACTGAGTCAATTTCAACAAAATCTGATTTTGTTTGTTAAACATAGGGCCCCACCTTCTTTCAAAGGGAGACAGATTTTTATGCCCCCCTTCGAAGAAGAGAGGGCATATTGCTGTGCTGCTCCTGGTTGGTCTGTTCGTCCACTTAGTTTCTTTGTAACATGAAAAAAAAACATTAAATATAAATATAAGAAATAAAATATCATTTAGGTCACCTGAGCCACTCAGGAGACCTACATGTATTGCTATCTGTTTTCGTCCATCGTCCGTCTTGTGTCGTGTGTTAACATTTGAACATTTTCGGTGTCTTCTCTGAAACCACTGAACCAATTTCAACCAAATTTAGTATACAGCATTTATGGGTAAAGGGGAACAAAAATTGTGAATTTTTATGGTCCCTGCCCCCATTGGGGCTGAGGGATAGAGCCAAAACCACTAAAATTAATGAAATCTTTAAAAATCTTCTTTACTCCCGGACATCTTGCAGTCAAACTGATGGCATAAATGTAATAAGAATTTAGTCCTCTACCAGAATTGTGAAATTCATGGCCCCAGGGTCAGGGGTTCTAGTGCTTGGGTGGGGCTATATAGATTATATAGTGCAATTGCATTATTTTTAGCTCACCTGAATCGAAGGCTCAAGTGAGCTTTTCTGATCATATTTTGTCCGTCGTCCGTCCGTTTGTCTGTCCGTCTGTAAACTTTTCACATTTTCGACTTCTTCTCATGAGCCACTGGACTAATTTTAATCAATCTTGGTACAAAGCATCCTTGGGTTAAGGGGAATACAAATTGTTAAAATGAAGGGCCAAATCCCCCCACAAGGGGAGATAATTAAGAAAAGACAAAAATAGGGTGGGGTCATTAAAAAATCTTCTTCTGAAGAACCACTGGGCCAGAAATGCTGAAACTTATGTGGAAGCATCCCGGGGTAGTGTAGATTCATAATTGTTCAAATCATGACCACAGGGGGTAGGGTGGGGCCACAATGGGGAATCAAAGTTTTACAATGGGGAATAAAAACATCCTTGGTAGTGTAGATTTCAAATTGTCTAAATTATGATAGTGGGGTAGAGTGGGGTCACAATATGTATTACAAGCGGAAATCTGGTAAAGAACGGAATGGTCAAAGCTTCTCAGGCGAGCGATGTGGCGCATGGGTCTCTTGTTATTGAAAATCTTCTCTGCTCCTGTGTATAAAATAATCTAACTAAGTACATGGTTACATATGTGACAGGCAAGAGAGCCTCTTCCAAATTATTGAATTTAATGGCCACAGGATTTGGGGTTCTGGAGTTAGGGCGGGGCTCTTTTGATTATTATAGTGATACTACATTAATTCTTTGAAAATCTTCTTCTCTGCCCCTGGGTATTAAATAAACTAACTAAGTACATAGTTATGATGGGCAAGAGTGCCTCTTCCAAAATTGTGAATTTGATGGCCCCATGGTTGGGGGTACTGGTGTGAGGGCAGGGCTCTTTTGATTATATAGTAAAATTTGGTTATAGCGAAGTCACTGGGACCTATAAAACTACTTAGCTATACCTATATATATATATTTGATTAAGGAATTTGTTAAATTTATATACCTGGGGATCCAAGATAACTTATCTGTGAATTCCATGAATTCGCAATAATTGTGGTTGTACTAAACGAAATTTGCTGTATAGTGGAAATACATTAATTCTTTGAAAGACTTCTTCTCTGCTTCTGGGTGTTAAATAAACTAACTAAGTACAAAGTAATGATGAGCAAAATTGCCTCTTCCAAAATTGTGAATTTTATGGCTCCTGGGTTAGGGGTTCTGTTGTTAGGGTAGGGCTTTATTGATTATTAGTGGAAATACAATATGGGTACAGTCCACTAATTGTTTTCCCATAGGCGACAATGTTAACGTTTCTTCTCATAGCGATGTCCCTAATTTTCGTTCAGAAGTGAGTGACCCCTCAAATCAAAGCACATCAACTTGTCTTTCCTTGGTTAAAATCTCGAGGTGGCATGTCAGATTCGTTTTCCGGCAAAATGCGTCTGTCTGCGGGAACCTCTAAAAATGAAAGTGAAAGTAGGGGAATTTCAGAATTATCACTGGCGTTATAATACACAAAATAATTCAGCTGATCTTCTCGATAAATTACATTTTCAAAGCTTTTTTGGTAGGAAAGATACTCTTTATCAACAAGTGTGAGGCTCAGTTCAGTACATCTGCCCAATTTTTTTTATGCAAGTCTGCAAATTAAGGAACTTGTAATTTTTTCTGCACTACTTTCTTCTCCTACCGATTCTAAAAATAATTAGTGGGATGTACCCAATATGAAAAAGCATTTTTTTGATTTTACAATATTTCACACTGTTTGTCAATCTAGAGCATAAGTAGAGACATCATGCCAAGTTTCATGAAAATTCAACAATTAATCAAGATTTTACAGCATTTACAGTTCTAGGTGTTATATCCTTAAAAAAGGCTTCAATCTAGCCAAAACTGCACCCAAGTTTTAGGTCAAATTTAAGCCTATTAACACATTTATACCATTCTTAATCAACTTCATAACTTCAAATACATATAGTCAAATCATAATCAAGCACTTAATTGGGTCAATTTCACTTTTTTTAAAAAATTAATGTATACTGAAGGGAAAAAGAAACGCAGGGTAAACGTTTGAGGTGAATTAAATTTGTTTTTCTTAAAATACTTTTTAGTTTTCCTATCTAACTTTTAAAATCATCTTTCAAAAAGATATAACCAAATTCTCATATGATTTTGTGTAATTATTCATGAGTTATTGAAGCTCAAATGACGATACCCCCCAAAAGGGAAAATCGAAAACTCTCATTATCTTCAATGTCCATCTTGTGCATCTGTCAGAGTCTTATTTCTCCTTTGCATCGGATTTCATCAGAGTGTTTATCTTTTAAACCCTGGCTATATTTAGCATGGGTAACCACGCAAAAAAATAAGTCAAACGACGCGCGCATGCGCCAGTGAGAGGAATACAACAGTAAGTTGACTGGCTCAAAAAACCTAATTGCGGAATTGTTTTCTTTCAAATTTCGTATGAAAGTAATGATTATAATCGTGTACACTATAAATGGCTGTTTTTGTGGTAGTAAGGTGGCGATTTAAGAGATGGCAGGATGAATAACCCGCTCGTTACATGGCTCTGTTCCGCGTTAACGTCAGCGTCACGGTTGATTGAAATCCACTCCAGACCCTCTCTGACAACTGCTAAAAAGTTTTATTTGGGAAAATTTACAAGAGACTGCTTAGTAAACCGTTGTTGCCGTTTTCATTAATTAGGCAATTCAAAAACAAGACCCCATTGGACTTCCGTAAACTGTGCCAAGATTGCAATAAATTCATAATGTCTCTTAATATTGAAAAACGATGTGCATACCTCATATGCATCAAATAATGCAACAAGATTTGTGAACAAACACGTCGTTATCAAATTGCACTTGTTTTGGGCTTTTTAGCGTTTTCCCTACGTGACGTCATAAATTTTACGGTTGAGTAATTCTGAATACTGATTTTGATGCACAGTAACTAAATTTCCCATCTGACCAATTTTCGTAATTTTCGGTCGTGTGGTCAAATTTTTATCGACAATTATGCTACCCTGCGTTTTTTTTTCCTTTCAGTATATTTTCGCACAAAATATGACCACTTTTCACCCTCTAATTCATAGTTTCTCCAGAAATGACAAAAAAATGAAGTTAACAAATACCCCGAAAGTAGTAAAATAAAAAAGAACTGATTATTTCCTATCCATTGATGTATCATTCATGAAATTTGGTCCATGAATAAAAAAGTTATAAGCCTTTATAATCCTATATAGAATCATTTGATTCAAAGCAATTTTTATACCAATGCAAATTTACTCATCTATGACGTCACAATGACATCATAATAATGGATAGCTCAATACATGTGTATCATTACTTTTCCCGTACTTTTTATTTAAGACAAAATCAGTGCTTATATACTATTATTAACTTTAAAAAATAAAAATATGTGGTTTTGCAGATTAAATAAATAATCCACTAAAGTTGTTTTGTTTCCATGGTAACCATTTTGTAATTTGTAGGAAAATGAGACAAAATTTTGAATTTCCTGACAAATCGCATAATGTCGACTGTCAAATATTCATGAAACTTCAATTCTTATATCCGTGTAATCTTAATAATGCATAATTTACAAAACAAAGATGTAGATCTAATTAATTTGAAATTCTTAAATAAGAAAAAATCTATATAAGTGCAAAATGTATATAGCAGTGCATGTACAGATTAGTTATAGCTAAATACTTTCACATTCTGATCACCTATTAAATATGTAAATTTCCTCACCCCCACCCCATCCCCCACTTCAATGAATTTTTTTTTTAGAAAACTTTAACTTACACATTTTGCCGACTGTCACATTTTGCTGGTGCTGTTTCAAGATGTATTCAAATGGGCATGCATTTGCTGGCCAACAGTTTTAAACACCATCTGCATGGACCTCATGTTTTTCCTGTACCAATCACCATGAACCTAAAAAAAAAATCAATACAATAAATGGCACAATATCACATTTGCAGACAGACAGACACATAGACATTCAACACGTACAATTTTACCATATTCCTTTTATGCCCATTAATTGAAATTAATTAATTCAAAAAATGATTAATTGCTCCCACCTGAAATCACACTGTTTTCATTGGTAATTAAGTTAATTCAGCAGAATAGGTAAAAATCATGTTTTACTGACAATAATTGTACATTCAACAAATAAATGTAATGCAATTGCTAAAAAATATGAGAAAAATCAGTTAATGTGCATGTTCACACACATCGCTTAACTCCCAGAGAACTGTAACCAGCTTCACCGCGCAACTGATCTGAAATGATGTATGTCATGTGACGTGCCGATCATCGACAGGTTCCAATAAACATTAAATTGTTATTTACAAATATTGTACTAAGGTATACCTCTTACCTCCTGTGTAAAATACAAATGCCCATCACCTATATACTGCTAAACATTGCACTGAACAGTTTTGATAACTTTCTGCTAAGTCTACTTTCACTTCGACCTTGACCCCAATTGAATACCGATCCCGAACTCATTTGTGATTTTTTGTGTATTGAAAATAAACAACAGTGGAGCATGTACATCTAAATAATTGCTTCTTAGTCAAATTATACATTTATGATTCTGAATAAATAAATTATATAAATCGATACATTTAATCTACATGATACATGTGTAAACAATGGGTGATACATGTATGAGCATGTTGACTGTTCAGGGGGGGGGGGGGGCTAGACATTTTAATTATGAATCAATGTTTTTAAAAATGTGTATAAACAATAAAAGAATTGTTTTTTTCATTAATTTGAACAATTGAAAATAATAGAAAACACCAACTTTGAAATAAATTCAAGATTTATGACATCTTTCACTTACTTATAGGCTTCCTAATATGGGTACAGTCCACTAATTGTTTTCCCATAGGCGACAATGTTAACGTTTCTTCTCATAGCGATGTCCCTAATTTTCGTTCAGAAGTGAGTGACCCCTCAAATCAAAGCACATCAACTTGTCTTTCCTTGGTTAAAATCTCGAGGTGGCATGTCAGATTCGTTTTCCGGCAAAATGCGTCTGTCTGCGGGAACCTCTAAAAATGAAAGTGAAAGTAGGGGAATTTCAGAATTATCACTGGCGTTATAATACACAAAATAATTCAGCTGATCTTCTCGATAAATTACATTTTCAAAGCTTTTTTGGTAGGAAAGATACTCTTTATCAACAAGTGTGAGGCTCAGTTCAGTACATCTGCCCAATTTTTTTTAATGCAAGTCTGCAAATTAAGGAACTTGTAATTTTTTCTGCACTACTTTCTTCTCCTACCGATTCTAAAAATAATTAGTAGGATGTACCCATATTTCTTCAAAGATCTTCTCTGCTCCTGGATATTAGATAAACTAAGTAAGTATATAGTTACATTGAGCAAGAATGCCTCAACCAAAATTTTGAATTTGATGGCCTCTGTTTCAGGTGTTTTGTCATTTGGTGTAATGGGGGGGGGGGGCTCATTTGGTTAAATAGTTAAAATACATTAATTCTTTGAAAGACTTTTCTTTTGCTCGTGGGTATTATGCCAAAAATATACCGTAAGTACATATATCTATGATGAAGAAAGGTGCATCTAGCAAAATGGCTGATTTTATGCCCCCTGAGTCAGGGGTATCAATGGGGGGGTGGGGGGGTTACAAAGTCTAAAAATAAATTAATGCTTTCAAATCTGCTCTTTAGTATTTATCAGCCATTTATGATGAAATAAAATTTATGATAAAATTTCTAAAATTTTGAAATATGAGGCCCCAGTGTCAGTGGTTCCTGTGGGGTGGGGTGCACAACTGGTTATAAAGTGAAAGTGCATTTTCTCTCCATTACTGATCTACCTCTGGATATTAAGTAATTAGAGTATGCATGCTATGTGTATAATTATGATAAGCAATGGTGCCTCTTTCAAAATTGTGAATTTCATGGCCTCAAGTTTAAAACACGAACCAAATAAAATTGTTGGAAAGTTGTTACATGATACTCAGGTGACCTATAAGGCCTTGAAGGCTTCTTGTTTAGAGTTTCATTGGGTTATGACATGAAGTCGGTACGTGATCAAATCTACTATACTGCCTGAAAATTTGATCACATGAGCGACTTAATATCATAAGCCAATGAAACTCTAAAAAATGATATCTTATTTCTTGAATAAACATGGATCATACTCATAAGATATCTGTGAATATCATTATTTTGAGTTCAGTGCTCATAATACATCTACATTATATTTTTAGTTGCATATTTATTTAATGTAGACTAGAGGTCTATTTGCAGGGACAACAAAGTGAGAAGGCCTTAAAAATGTATTCGTTTTTATTTACAGCAAATTCTTCAAGCCAACAACAGCGCTTTAAACTTAAACTTGACAAAAAAGATATGCCACTGAGTGTTCTAGAACCTCATTCGCAAAATGCAGCTGATGATGCGAAAACGCAGGGGAAAATGGAACCAGTTGATGATGAGGGTCATGCGATTAAAGTATCAAACAGTGGACAGATATCACAAGATGATACCAACATTAAAACTACCTCATTCTCTCCACCACAAGGTGCCATGTCAGCTTCAAATTTAGCAGAAGTTACGAAGGAAAATAAAGATATTCTTGGACCAAATAATCCAGGAATTTCAGGAAATTTGCAGATTGATGCAAAAAACATTTCAGATAAGAAAATTACAATGACTGACTTTGCAGGACAGTGTGCATATTATGCCTCACACCAGATTTTTCTGAGTCCACGGGCATTCTTCATTCTGGTGCTGAATATGGAGAAAAAGTTTGATGATACGGTTGGAGGAGAGGTGTGTTGTCAGGAAGGCTCCGTTTATAAGGAATGGACAAACAGAGGTAAAATTTTAATTATTTTTTCAAGGCACCACCGCATTAGAACTGATAAAACATTATTTCATAGATAAATGTTATGGACATATAATCAACTTTTTTATGTTTTCTGAACCTGTCTGCACATTGAATTTGGAATTTTTAGGTCACATGAGTAAACTCGTCGTACGTCAATCATTGGTTGTAAACTTTTGAACATTTTTAGCTTCTTCTCTGGAACCACTGAACCATTTCAACCAAATTTGTTACATAGCATCAATGGGAGAAAGGAAACAAAATTTGTAAATTTCATGGTCCCTTTCCCATGGGCAGCAAACAGTCAAACTGTTTGCACAATTGTAATCAGCATTGAGTTCTCTACCAAAATTGTGATATTCATGGCCCCTGGGTCAGGGGTTCTAATGTTAGGATGGGGCTACATAGATCATGTAGTAAAAGTTCATTATTTCTTTGAAAATTAAATCTAGAAGTCTCGAGTAAACTCAGGTGACCTATTGCTATCCGTTTTCGTCCGTCGTCGTGCGTCGTTTGTCGTGTGTTAACATTTGAACATTTTCAGCTTTTTCTCTGCAACTAGTGAACCAATTTCAACCAAATTTGGCACAAAGCATCTATGGATGTAGGGGAACAAAAATTGTGAATTTCATAATCCCTGCCCCCTTGGGACGTGAGAAGTGGGACCAAAGCCACTAAAATTAATGAAATTTTTAAAAAAATCTTCTTTACAACTGGACAACAAGCAGTCAAACTGTTTGCATGATTGGAATAAGCAATGAGTCTTCTACCAAAATTGTGAAATTCATGGCCCTGGGGTCAGGGGTTCTAGTGCTAGGGCGAGGCTAATTAGTAGGTAGTGAAAATGCATTATTTCTTTGAAAATCTTCTTCTCTGCTCCTGGGTATCAAATAAACCAAGTAAGTACATAGTTATGATGAGCAAGAGTGCCTCTACCAAAATTCTGATTTTTATTGCCCCAGTGTCATGGGTTCTGGTGTTAGGGCGGCGCTCTATTGATTATATAGTGAAAATACATGAATTCTTTGAAAATCTTCTTCTCTGCTCCTGGGTATTAAATAAACAAACTAAGTACATAGTTATGATAAGCAAAAGTGCCTCTACCAAAATTTTGAATTTTATGGCCCCAGGGTCAGGGGTTCTTGTTTTAGTGTAGGGCTCTAATTATAATGATTATATAGTGAAATGCATGAATTCTTTGAAAATCTTCTTCTTTGCTCCTGGTTAATATGCTCATGATCTAATTACATATTTAAGGCCAGGATTTATTTATTTTTAGTTTTACAAACCCTCCGCTCAAGGTTTTGAATTTTCAGGAAAAATAAAACATTATTTTTCTTTCCGATGTCTAATATGAGTCAGGATCGAGATTTCAAATTTACAAACTGGCACTTCCGGTTTTACGATGGGTAAATGAAGCTAGATCTGAGAAGATAGCTGGGTTTAGTGTAAAATTCATCGATGAGTGCCATTCAAAACGTTTCAACCGTTCAAAGAACAAATATACTGACGACTTTGTTGCACAATGACATGCTGGTGAGATAATTATTTATTCGTTTCAAAAGTAACTGTAAATTATTTTTCTCCCACAGGTCTTTAACTACCCGTGGTAGCTATTGCATATTGCCAGGGACATTGTTTAGGTCTCTTCTGTTATAGCTTACAATCTAAGCATTATTTTTCAGAAAAGGGTTGCTTATGCATTATTTGTAATGAATAAAACTATGGGAGAAGTGAAGTCAATTTGAGGAAGAAATAAACAATAACAATAACCTTAGGAAATTAAAAAAAAAATTAAACTATTAAAAGGCAAGAATATATACAAATATATGCAGGCATGTAGCATCATTTGTATCAGCCAGAAAAATTGTTTTACACTCAGTTAAAAAATGTTGACCCTACTCCCCAATACTCCCTGTGTGTTTTATAATAGGAATTATAATTTTAGGCATAAAGTAAATTTTAAAACAATGTCTACACATTCACATTACACATATTAAAAAAAAATGAATATATATTGAAAGACTTTTATAGAATTGATTTTTAAAAATATATTTTGATCAACATTACAAATTTATATAACTGGCCCAAACTGGCAGATGATGAAATAATCAATTAAATGTTCTACTTTCCTATTTGTAAGCATTATGTGCCCAGTGGTAAGGAGCCTATTAGGATAGCATAAAATGTACAAATGTTAATAATTGATTTAAAAAAAATTATTTCCTTTTTTATTCTTATGTTCATAACTAAACCTAAGCATAAAAAAATGCTGGCCTTATAATGAAAAAAGGGGCCTCTTTCAAAATAGATAATTTCAGGGCTGCTGGGTCAGGGGTACCAGGGGGGTTCTTTTACTTAAATTAAATTATTGCTTTGAAATCTGCCCTTTGATAAGCAATGGTGCCTCTTTCAAAATTTGTGAATTTCATGGCTTTTGATTTAAAACACTAACCAAATACAATCGCTGGAAAGTTGTTACATGATACTCAGGTGACCTATAAGGTCCATGGGCCTCTTGTGTATCTTAGTGTAGTCTACTTGTGTGCCAAGTAATATTGAAATCAAACCAAAACTGTAGAAGGAGTAGCGTTTTATAGAAATTTCACGGAATTTTTTTTTGTAACCATGGCAACACCGTTCACAGAAATCCAAAACCAATGCACAATTTATGTATCTTAGTGTAGACTACTTGTGTGCCAAGCTATATTAAAATCAGACCAAAACTGTAGGAGGAGTAGCGTATTGAAAATTTTTTTACAGACAGACAGCTAGACAGACGGACGGACGAAAGACACCTTACTATCGCATAAGCTCTTCTGGTCTCTGACAAGTAGAGACTAGTAGAGCGAAAAACTAACCAAGTAAATAGTTATGATTACCAAGAATGCCTCTTTGAAAATTATAAATTTCATGGCCCCTGGGTCAGGAGTTCTGGTGTAAGAATGGGGCTCTAAGTGTTAGTCCATTATTTATACACTGAATTGACGACGGATTTATTTTTTTCCCATTATTTCCTGATCATGACAATGAGCACACGGAGGGTGTGACGGGTCAGCAGGGGATGCTCACTCCTCCGTGGCATCTGATTCCACCTCTGATGTTTCGGAGGTCCGTGTTTGCTCTGCTCTTATTTTGTATATTGTTTAATGGACTTTGAGATTGAATACTGTTCGTAATCTCCATATCCTTCTTCATAGTAAAAATACATTAATTCTTCAAAGATCTTCTTTGCTCATATTAAACAAACTAAGAATATAGTTATAATAAGCAAGAGTGCTTCTTCCAAAATTGTTGATTTTATTACCCCTGGGTTGGGGGTCGTGGTGTTAGAGATGGCTCTATTGATCATATAGTGAAAGTGCATTAATAAATTCCTAAAAAATTTCTCCTCTGCTCCTTGGTATTAAATAGATTAACCTACTATATAGTTATTATCAACAAGATTGCCTCAACCATATTTTTAAATTGGATGGCCCCTGTCCCTGGGTCAGGGGTTTTGGTGAAGCGGGGGTTGATTATATAGTGAAAATACATTAAGTGTTTAAGATTCTTCTTCACTGCTCCTGTGTATTAAACCAATGAACTATGAACATTGTTATGATAAGAAAGGATGCCTCTTCCAAAATTGTGAATTTCTTGGCCCCTGGGTCAGGTGTTCTGTCATGATTTCCTGCAATCTGTCTTAATGAAAACTCTTACAGCGGAATGTGTCTTTGATAGCTCTACTGGTCAGAGACCAGAAGAGCTTATGCGATAGTAATGCGTCCGGCGTCCGTCCGTCTGTCCGTCGGTTTGTCCGTCTGTCTGCCCGTCTGTCTGTAAACAATTTTCCAAAATGCTACTTCTCCTACAGTTTGGGTCTAATTTCAATATAACTTGGCACACAAGTAGACTACACTAAGATACATAATTCTGTGTATCGGCTTTTGATTTCGATGAACGGTGTTGCAGTGGTTACTAAAAATAGAATTTTCTGTGAACTACTTTAAAATTGATAATCCTCCTACAGTTTTGGTCTGATTTCAGTATAACTTGGCACACAAGTAGACTACACTTAGATACATTATTCTGTGTATCGGGTTTTGATTTCGATGAACAGTGTTGCCGTGGTTACTAAAAATAGAAATTTCTGTGAAATTCTTTCAAAATGCTACTCCTCCTACAGTTTTCGTCTGATTTCAGTATATCTTGGCACAAAGTAGACTACACTAAGATACATAATTCTGTGCATCGGTTTTTGATTTCGATGAACGGTGTTGCCTTGGTTACTAAAAATAGAAATTTCTGTGAAATTCTTTCAAAATGCTACTCCTCCTACAGTTTTGGTCTGATTTCAGTATAACTTGGCACACAAGTAGACTATACTAAGAACATAAAGAGACTTTATCAACGATCATTATTTTATTTATTGCTGTTTATAAAGTTTCAAATCCCAGCTACGTAAGTACTTTCTCTTCCTTTGCTATAAGTTCAAACCAGTAGAGCTTCAGTCTCGACAGAGACTTCTGGTTTTTCAGATTATCTTGAGTTCTGGATGAAGTCCATACACCAGTACAGCAGTGATAAGGCTCCTGTCATCCTGGTTGGTACACACTGTGAGAATAAAACAGAAGAGGTATATTTCTTGATAAAAATCATCTTTTTACTTCAAATCATGATACATGTAACTATATGCATTTTTAGCTCTTCTGAGCCAAAGGCTCAAAGAGCTAATGCTATGGCCATTTGTGCTGTGTATGTTAACTTTTTAGAATATGGGCCATAACTCAAGAACCCTTTGACCAATCAGTCTCAAATTTGTCACAGTATCCATGGCCCAAGGGCTACCATTTATAGTAAAATAATGGTTGGGACTCTTAAACAAGAGGAGATAATTAGCAAAACAAAAAAGGTACTAGTTGCTAAAAAATCTTCTCCAGAACCACCAGGCAGATTTTCACCAAACTTACATACAAGGATTAGGATATGTCAAAAATTAAAAATTGCACGGGGAATAACCCTGGGGCAAAGGGCGTGGTCTCAAGGTCACTTCAAAGATTGACTTTAGATTGACCTAAATCTACAATTAACTAAAGCCGTTTATATTTTGTTTACTATACAGACTAGGATCATCAAATCTTGTACGTTGATGCATCTTAGGACTCCACATCATGTAAAATCAAAAGTAGGTCACTATGACCTACTTTTAAAATTTTGCGGTAATTTGTTTTCAAATTGAATTGAAGGCATATTTTGGACACTTTGAGGCCTATGATCATCAAACTTTGTCTTTGATGTATCTTTGGTCTTTGAACAACGTCAACTTAATAGTAGGTCACCGTGTCCTACTTTTTGAACTTGATGACTTATCCTTTTTAAAACATTTAATCCCATTATTTCAGACACTGAGAGGTTTAGAATCATCAAATCTTGTAAGATGATGCATCTTGGGACCTAAAACATATTTATGAAAAAGAAGGTCACTGTGACCTACTCTTTGAACTTTGCAGGCCTTTGTTTTCTAATTGTTTAAAAGGCATTTCCTGATTACCTTCACACCCACGATCATAATACTTAATCAGGAGATGCATCTCGGGACTTCAAAAAATGTTGACATAAATGTAGGTCACAATGACCTACTTTTGACTTTTTATGGCTGTATTTAAGTATCTTTGGTATTTTGTGGCTTAAATTTATCAAACTTTGTGAGTTGATGGATCTTGGCTTTTCAGAGAGTGAAGACCAAAAAGTAGGTCACGGTGACCTACTTTTGACAATCAATGACTTTATTTGAGTGTCTCTGGTACATGTGGTATGTATGGACTTAGAATCATCAAACTTTGTCAGTTGATGTACCTTGGATTTTAAGAGAATGTCTACTTAAATAAAAAGTAGGTCACATTGACCTACTTTTGACATTTAATGGCTTTATTTAAAGAAATATGAACTGCATGTCTGACATTGCAATTCTTTTTTTTCTAATTTGTAATTAACTATTGCAATGACAGAAAAATAAAGCATTCATAAACTTCTTTTGTTTATTTACGCGATGGAAGAACTTTTTATAAGCCTTGATTGAAGCAAAATTGAATTATTATTGTCCTGTACAATAAAGCTTTCTTATATAATACTTTATATTTGGTAAAACAGAAATATATCTTATAAATCATTTTTTAAAATTTTTTTTGGCCTTATTGGTCATAATGGTTTGAATTACACACAGATGAATCATAATAGCATATTTCACCTGCAAAATTATTTTTCAAAAATGCAGCTCATATTACTGTAAGTACCTCTGGATTTTATTGGTTAAGAATCATTAAACGTTCTTAGTTGATACATCTTGGGTTTTCAGAGAATGCTGACAAAAAAGTAGGTCATGGTGACCTACTTTTGAATATTTCAGGTATTTATTGGCTTAGAATCATCAGACATTGTCAGTTGATGTATCTTGGGGTTTCAAAAATCATCTTCTTAAAATAAGGTCACAGTGACCCACTTTTGACATTTCATGGCTATGTTAAAGTATTTTGAGTACTTATTTGCTAAGTTTCATCAAACTTTGTCAGTTGATGCATATTGGGTTTTTAGAGAACGTACACAAAAAAAAGTCAGTCACAGTGACCTACTTTTAAATAGATTAAATACTTATTGGCTTAGAATCTTTAATATTTGTCTTTTAATGCATCTTGAGTCCTTTGAGGACTTCAATCTTGAAGTAGGTCAATTTGACCTACTTTTGTTTTTTTTTGTTTTGTATATATAGCTTTATCAAAATATCTTCAGTCCTAATTGGCTAAGAATCATCTAACTTTGACAGTTGATGAAAGTTGGGTCTAACGATACTTAGGGTTAGAGACTTCAAATGAAAGTGATAGATTGACTGATTGTATATTGTTTAACGTCCCTCTCGAGAATTTTTCACTCATATGGAGACGTCACCGTATGCCGGTGAAGGGCTTCAAATTTTGACCTTTACTCGGCACTCAAGGCCATTGAGCAGTGAGGGATCTTTATCGTGCCAACGCCTGCCGCTGACACGGGGCCTCGGTTTTTAAGGTCTCATCCGAAGGACCCGCAACTTTCACTTCAAAGTGCCGAGCACATGGCGAAGGAACAGTTGCTACCAATTTTAACAACTAGGTCAGTCGCGGCCGAGATACGAACTCACGACCTCCCGATCACGGAGCAAGCGCTCTACCGACTGAGCTACCGTGAACGGTAAAGTGATAAATTGTTCAATTTATCAGAAGAGCGATTCAAGGCCGTTGGGCCTCTTGTATTTAGTCAGATTCTCATATCAATTGTATAAAAAAAATTATTGAAAAATCAGTGAAAGTTGAAAATGGATGTTATTGTTGGAAAGGTGAGTGTACTGTAATGCCTCTGTAGTAAAATAATTCTGATGAGGTCATTTGAAAAAGTAAAGAAACATGACATTTTTTTGGTGTCCCATTTTAACAAAATAAGCCCTTATTTCTCTCTTCTTTATTTAACTCCCTATGCAGGAACTTGAAAAAAACTAAAGGCATCTGTACGTGTGAATAGAAATTTTCTGCAAAGGAAATTTAAATATTTGATTATTTTTTAGCTCACCAGAGCCAAAGGCTCTAGTGAGCTTTTGTTATCAAAATTTGACCGTTGTCTGTCGTCGTCGTTGTTAATGTCGTCTTTGTAATCTTTTCACATTTTCATCTTCTTCTAAAAAACCACTAGGCCAATTTCAACCATGCTTGTCATAAAGTATCCTTGGGTTAAGGGGATTTAAAATTGTACAAATGAAATACTACGCTCTTTTCCAAGGGGAGAGATTATTATAAAAAGAATTAATGGTATCATTTAAAAATCTGTTCAATAACCACAGGGCCAGGAAAGATGAAATAGAAGTGAAATCATCATCAGGAAGATTAGATTCAAGTTTGTATCATGAACCGGATGGGGCAACTAAGGGAGATCAAATTTTAACATAGGAAAAATCTTCTCAAGAAAAACAAAATCATGAATGGACCGGACACAACCCTAGTGAACCCGAAGTGGACCCCAAGTTTGCTTCTTGGGTACACTCAGGGTCCTCTTTGGTTTCACTATCAGAAATGTTGAGACCGCTCTGGGTGCGCTTTGAGTCCACTCTGGGTTCGCTTTGCGTTTGTTAGGGGTCAGCTCTGGGTCTGCTAGAGCGAACCCGGCGTTCGCTTTCACTCATGTGTGAAGCAGATCCTGCTTTTGTGTCCCCATCAGTAACTCTGCCTCTTGTATATATTCCAATACAGTAATAGAATCGATCATTGTTGTATTTGTACACTGTATATGTACACCATGATATTATGGAGATCATTAATAAATTTTCCAAAGTTCATCTGTACATTTGACGTAGATTTATAATTGTTTTTTTTTTATTTCTCCGTTCTCAGAATTTCGATCCCGAAAAAGTTATTTTCAACGGGTATTAAGCAATTCTTTTTTTATTATATATAAACTTGAAATCAAAACAGAAGATAGAGAAAAGATGTTGACTTGATTTTCAATGTATCGAATGGTGTACTTGTGAAACTGATGAAAGAATCTAACCAAAGTACCTTTCAAATTCATGCGTTATATAGTTATTTTTCTAATTTCTTATCTTTTTTACTAAATCGTAGTTTTAATGTTTAACAGACAGATGAATTATAACATATCATCTATAAGTTACCCAAATTGTACACCGAATGTGTTTAGATTTCATTTGTAGTATTTACACATTTAAAGTACGTAATAAATATTCACCAGACATTTTCTTAAAAAAAAAAGATTATTTCAGATTCTTGTTAATGCTCAGAACTGAGGAGCAAGTATGATTTGAATTAGAAGGAAAAATTAAAAAAAATACGAAAACTAGTAACACTTTTTCTCCTGATTTGAATATATTGATATATTAATGAAATTTAAAATTATTTCTTAAGAAGAATATTTAAATATAAATTAATACACCAAAAAATCTAGACCATTTAAAAGATCATAACTGTAAACTCTCAGATAATATTATAATCATGATGATAGAGCCTGATGATTTTGAGATAAAATTTACTTTAGTCGTCAGTCGACCACATGGGTCAGTAGTTACAGTCCCTTAAACGTTCTACATTCCCACCTGAATGGTGAACGAATGCTGAATGAAAGGTGAAAATTTGTTCTTTCCTCTGTTAAGTTATTTTCCTTTGCTCTGATGACATGTATAATGCCAGCATCTTTCAAGCTGTGTTGACAAAAAGCCATGCTTGTTTACGACAGTCGATAACTCTTAAGACATAAACAGTGTTACGACATCGACAAATGCCGTCATTTTTACCGGAAGTGCCCTGTTATACAGTCATCTAAATCCTTAAAAACATGAACCAAATTCAATCATTTGAAAATTGTTGGTTGATCCTCATGTGACTTATAAGGCCCATGGGCCTCTTGTATAAGATATTGTACAGGACGATATACATTGAATTTTTTCAAGCCAACTAAGATCAATAATTTTGATGTGAATTTTTAACAATTTAAAGGAACGTATAAATTGAGATAATGGAAATAAAATAATTGATTGAGAGCACGTACATATTCTTTTGATGTATCTCGAGATAATGAAAGTAAACCAGTTGCCTCCTCTTTTTTAGCAAAAAATGTTTAATGATCTTTTTTTTTCCTTTTATGCATTGACTGATATATTGACCCAATTCATATTTATCATTAGACCCTGACTAAAAAAAAAACTAAAGAAAACAAATAGGTAAAATATACACATAATGTTCTACCTGAAGAATTTCAATTAAAATATATAATGTTAGCACAAAAATATATAAAGAAAACAAATACTGTATTTAAATATAAGATACAGCGGGAAAATTGAAATAAATAGATGTAAAATAATACTTTAATTATCTTAACAAATTTACTCTGTACATTGATACGCTTTGCTTTTATGTATAATGTTTGGATTTATAGAGTAACACTTACACATTTGACCTTTAATCCCAATCGACAGATCAATTTTGAATGATTAA